CACACACACACACACACACACACACACACACACACACACACACCCCTTCTTCCAGGTCTTTACGTAAGTTATCCACAGTCAAGATACATTAAAAAAAGTCTTCCAAGTTAAGTCTTATTCAACTGAACTTTTGGTAGGCTCCAAGCCCATACTTGCCTAAATTCCTATTGCGCTGGTGTTTGTTTTTGAGATAAGTTCTCACTATATTGCCCATGCTGGCCTCAAACTTTCAATCCTCCTACCTCAACCTCCCAAGTGCTAGGATTACAGATGTATAACCACAATGCCTGGCCTTAGAAAGCCTTGAGATAGCTTCTGTTTACCTTTAGGTGGGGTTCCCCATCTGCAGAAAATTTGCCAGCCCACTAACTGGTACCAATTTGCCTCTGAAAACTTCAGACCTAAGATTACCTTAGAACTCTGTAACATCTCCCCTGACAAGGCTGTGCTGACTGATGACACAGATTCCTACACATTAAGCCTTCAAGTGTCATGGTGGGAAAAGCAAATCTCCAGTTTGTTCATATACTCTCCCTGTAATATTACAGTAAAGCTCCAACTTTAGTAAGTATGCAAAGAGAACAGTTACATTGTTGACAACAACTGTTATTATACAGAAACTATAAGGTTTGAGTTGGGGAATCTGAAATTTTTTTTTAAATGGAAGAAGCATTTTTTCTTATCTCCATAGAGACTCTTAAGCTCTTCACCATGGCTTTCAGTACCTTTCTTCTTGGTCTATGGCTTAAAACACTCTCATTGTAAATTGCTATTCCTATCAAAACCATCCCCCTCCACACACACAAAATAGTCTTTTCACTGGTTGAAAAGAGGCATAATTAGCAGTAACAGCTTTGTTTTGTTTAATCAAAGATGACTAAGATGAAGTGGAGAAAAAAATGACCACGGAGAAGAGAATTAGAAACTCATATATTGTTGTTTGTAGATGGGCATTCAAATCATAAACTCACTGCAGACAAAAAAGAAACCCACCATGGAGATTGGAGGGGAAAAATACAATAATAAGCATGCCACTATAGCTGTACCTTGTAACCTGGCTCCCTTATCTCTTCTGGCTTCTGGGACATGCTGCCTTCCCCTAACCAAGGAGACACTATCATCTATGTCCTTTCTTCTGGCTAACCACTGGGAATATGGCACTCTTATGCTGTGCAAAATGGGAATTTAACTTAGCTCCCAATAATCAAAAGAGTATCTCAGTGCCACAGAAAGTTCTACTGAAGAAAACATGCTTACATGAAAAATTTAACTTCCAGACTTAAACACTTCCATAGAGATTTAGAAACACTGTTTGATTTATAAGTCACAACAAAGAGTTTTCATTTGCAAGGTGAAAGATTCCTTCCTCTGCTACAGAAAGAGCACTTGAATCTACTGTTTTAGTGCAAGAAGGAAACTTAATACCTCTCACACACATATTGCAAAACTACAACAACACAGGATGCCCAGTTCACAACAGACTGCAAAGGAATGAATCTTCACTCCCCAGCACTTTAGCAACTAGTGCCAACAGGAAAACTGAAAACCCATTTGGAGTTGCTAGCTTATTACTGCACAGTCTAATCCCTCCATGCACATACACAGCACCATCCAATTTCTTTTTCAGGCTTATGAAACAGATGGAGTTAACAAAGACCATGTATGCATCGTTCTGCACCATAAACCCAAAGGAGGATGCCACAGCTTTAGCTTTAACGACAACCAAGCAAGATAACTTTCAAATTCATTTTAGGCATCAGTGCTATTGTTTCAAAGAGGATATGAGTGGATCAAATAAACTGCCTACAAGTGAAATTGATTTGACAATCCATTTAGAATGAAGAGTGACATCTGTCTCTAAAACTACACATTTTTCTAAGTCTGTTTCTGAATGCTAACAATAAGTTTTAAACAGCCAACGTTAAACTGAAATAGAAATATTTTTATTAAAATGACCTATCTTCAAATTGACCAATTATCCCAAATTATCTCTATTACAAAAAGTATTTTTAAATCCAAATTTTAGGTGTCTATATCTTAAGGCAAGATAGATTCCTCTTACTCTCCATGTGTGTGCATATGCCTCTGTGTATAGATACAGATAGGCATATTACTTATACCAGCATTACAAAACAGTTGACTACCTATCCGGTTGGGACTTTAAGCCATTGACTATTTTTCCAACTTTTATTCTTCCTGCTGAAGTGGTATTGATGATTTGGTTGACAAACATAACTAAAGTGACCCTGAGACCTCAGTGGAAAAGGCTAATTATAAATGTTGCAAATGTGTGATGAACTGTAGGAGTTCAAGCCAAAGAGACCCTGACCAAAAATGAAGTACTCCCAATGGCTTAAATGAGATGAACCCTCCATCCTTGGAAGAACATGCAAATGTTCCAAAAATGAAACTTTGACATCTCTCTTGATATAGCTATCCCTTCAGTCCGCACTACTCTTGTACCTCCAAATGCTCAGAGCATATCAGCCTGAACCTTGCAACAGTACAGCACAGGAAGGAGAGGTGATTTCACAGTCTAAGGAACACTGGCCACACATTCAGTGAATGGCAAAAGGTTTGGTAGTGCTCCAAGGCAGAGAGGTGGCTAATGGGCTGGCAGTGGCTGGAAGGAGAAAGATAGGAAACTGAGGCAAATGCCAGATTGTGAGAGAAGGTATTTTCCAGCTGAGAAGTCAGTAGGAGTTACAAGGGCACTTCTGCACTGTCATTGTATTTTTAATCTCTCCCCTTCCCATGGAGGAGCAGAAAGAAAGACTCAACTCCTCTGTATATCCCTGACACTGGGCTAAGCATTATTATTCCAAGCTCCCCAACTTTGCTGGGTAAGTATATATATTTTTTCTGATCAGCCTTCAGGGTCTAGCTCACAGTCTTCTTTTACTCTCATCCTCTCTGTCCACATTTCCCTGCAAGACTAGTTTTCCTCTGGGTTGTGTGATTACTGCAGTTCATGCCAGCCGTGTGTCACTGTTTCCCTGTTAGACTGTTAGCTCTGTCACTGGTCAGGACATCACCGAGACCACTGCCTGGAACACACAGGGGCAGGGCTGGTGTCACCTCTGCTGATGGATGAATGAAGCGGTGACAAGGGGCAGTAACAGAGTAACCAATGAAATAGCACTAGGGCAAACCAACCTCACCCCTTCCTGCATTACAGACTGGTATTTGTGGGGATGGAGTATGTAAGTCCAGAATGTGACTACAACCCACATACAAAACACACTTAGCCAGAAAGTGTACTTCTTTAAATTTAGTCTTGGGTCTTTAGCATTAAATAACAAATATCTAAACTGAAGCTTGTGCTATTGGTTTTCATATTAACTAGTGAGTTTTTTGTTATTAAGATATATAATTGAGACATAGAAATTCAATATATTATGGTCATAATCACATCTGATATGTGATGAAGGAGACTTACGGGTGAGAAGGAATTCAACAATGATTTAAACCATTATTCAGATTTCTGTTTATTTAAAAAAATGGGGAACTTGTGAGAGAAATGGTATGCTTTCATCTTGCCACAGTGTCTTCTCTGTTTCGAATTCAAGCCCTTACAATACTTGCAGAAGATTTAAAATATTCATTGACCTGCCAAAAAACATCTGCACATTACTGGACACGTCTTCACACAGTCACATCTGAATAACTTCTTTCTGCTCCAGTGATCATAGCTGTATTCAATCACAACTAAAGTAGGAATCTCAGAACTGTATGTGGTGTGATGTCAGTGGCAATGGAGGATGAAATAGCCATTTGATAGCAACTTTCATACCAGGCCTGTCAACAGGGACAAGTGTTCCTTCGGTTATTCTCAACTTAGGATCCAAGGCACAGGAAAGACCAGGCAGGGCCAGACTCACTATAGTTCCAAAGAAGGCTATGACACATACAGAGCATACACAGAAGCTCCTCACTGCTCTTGGGCACATGAGGCAGCCTGGCTCTTTGCCCAATGCCCAGGAACAGGCCCACTTTCACGGTGGGTTCCCCAGGCCTGTGCAGCTGCAGACAGGCACACAGTGTGTGGGACCATCCATGCTCAATACCACCATGAGCTCCTGTTTTCCCGGACAGCTGGGTAAGGCCCCAGAGACAGGCCCCAAGCCAGACAAGGCCCTTTGTCACAAGGAACTTATTCCTCCCTGCCCTGTTTCGCCGGAAGAGTGTATTTTCCTCTAGCCATCCATTCTGGTCCCAACTGGCTCATAGAGAATGAGGCTGTATGCACAACCCATCTAACAAGGTTAGACACAGTGTTAACTGCAATCTGGCTTTCCCATCCCCAATCCAGGTGCGTGGTAAATATATGTTCCAAATGTCAAGAGATTCAGGGCAACAGTGAGGCTGATATAAAATAAGGTCACCCCAGGAGAATCTTCAACACACTGGTATGGAGGGGGAAATGCCTACAGTGCAGAGGATGGCAGAGGTGGCTGGGGAATTTCCTTGATCTTTTATGCTGG